GGCTGTTAAAAGTTGATTCGATTCCCGATTAAAGAATGTTCTTCGTGGTTTCGTTTGAATATCGTACAGATATGTCTTAACTATTTTTCGAACGTTTCTTCTCGTCGCATTTGAGCCTGGTTTTCGTTCCGGAAACCAAATTCCTCGAACGATATTCCCTGGAAAACGGAGCGCAGAACAATCGAGGACGTTATCTCGCGGAAAATCTTGCCTCATCGAAGTGGTACCAGATGAGAATGGTTGATTCGACCTCCTCCCTCGTCGGCTCGAAGAGACAGTTTCAAGAACCGCGAGTCCTCTGCAAAACCCGATTCGTCGTCTGCACGGTCTGCAGTTCATTGCGGTGCATGAATAAAACCGTTCTCCGCGAACGGCTCTCTCCAATTTTGCAATAAAATTTTACAGTTTTTCCCCAGAACTTTACGTAACTTTTTATCGAGAGTTTTCGTTGAAATTTCGTTATCTCTTCTCTTTCTTCCGCCGGGAAGGAATTTGGCATGGATTAAAATATTTAATCGATATTTCGTTCGTATCCGAGATTTGTACTCGTAGCAGCTTTCTTTTGTGTCGATTATGTAGATTAGGTTACCTCTTGTTAGGGGTTAGATTGCGCCTTATCTGGCTACTAAACCGGGAAGGAATTGAGGTTATGTTGCTTCTGACGCCATCTTGTTTAGTTATATAATTGCCATGAGTTGCAAATAGATGCAAATCAAAATGGAACAATGTTATCTCTGTTATTTTACGTACTTGCTCTTTATCTATGTTTTATCGTCTCGCGTATATGCCAGGTTTACGTAACCTAGTTCGAAACTGACAATTGTAGGTTGTAATACAAAATTATATAAATTTATCTGAATTTCGAATTGAATTCTATACGATCGATAATGAAATGATAAAATATAAGATAAAATGACGAAGCTTTTTAATATTTTAGATACGAAAATAAATAAAATAGAATAAATCTGTTTAACAAGCCAATAAAGCGCTTCAATCGGCTTAAAGCGATAATAAAATTTCAGGAAAAGCTTCGTTTCAGGGAAAGAGGAAAGAAATTGGTAAGGAAGAAATTCTTGCACGCAAGCGTCGACGAAAAAGTGACGAAGGAAAGCTTTGCCAATTAGGGAAGAACCTTGTTTTCTTCCCTTTTTTTCTCTCTCTCTCTCTCTCTCTCTCTCTCT